AGTCCATGAAGCAGCAGCTGGAACAGGTACAATCCAGCCTGGTCAACATAGTCAAGGTCATGCAGGACCAGCAGCAGCACTACAGCACGGCGATGGGTCAGTATGCAGCGGTGCAGCAGCAGCAGATGCAGCAGCAACAGCACATTGCCTCAGTTGGACAGTCAGCCGTGGGGTTTACCATACAGGGCCCGACAGGGCCCGACGTACCGTCGCCTGCATGGCCAGCGGCTGGATCAGCGGGGTATACCAACGAACAGATACAGATGATATACCTCCAGCAGTTGCAGGCCATGCAGCAGCAGCAGACGCAGTCGCAGCAGCAGCAGCAGTAGCAGCAGCAGCATGGCGTGCAACAACATCAGCAACATCAAGTGCAGGGGCAGCAAAAGCCAGCAGCAGAAGCAGTGAGACATGCAGCGGCAGCGCCAGCCACGCCGCCAACAAAGCCCCCGCTGTGCGCTTCACCTACCTCGGTGCCCGCAGCTCAGAGAACACCGCCGACACCTATTACTGGCATGGACACGACTGTCAACCCCACGCCCAAGGAGTTCCGACCAGTGGAGGTGACACCTGTGCCAGTGCATGGCGCACACATCCCGATCCCAGATTCACCGCGACTGGAAGGAGGCTGGGAGCGTGTCAAGCACGAGAGCCAGCCGTCGCAGACGCCACTGGCGACGTCAGAACTGCTGGCAGCCACGCAGCCGCTCAACATAGACAGCACGCAGGAGGATCCCTACCTGCGCGGACCGACCTTCAGTGTGACCGAGGGAGTGAGCAGCCAGCCCATCGTGGTAGACACCCAGGCCACAGACCAGCTCACGGCATCCCAGTTCCAGGCCGAGGTCAGTCGCATAGAGCAGGCATGCGCTTTAGCAGAGCCAGCGACTCCGTGGGACGAGCGCAGCCCGCCGCGCAAAGAGGCTCGCTCGGCGGAGGCATCTCGAGTGCACGAGCTCTCGGAACCTTCAGGAGCTGCATTGCGCGAGGGCATCAGTGCAAGACAGTATCTTGGGGACCCGCTTCCTATGCGCCTGATGTTTTAGAATCGCCACTCGGCACCCCTTCGCCCCTCAGGCCGATTTTAAAGCATCTAGGCCGTGGGCACCCTGATGTCGTCAGAGGGCATCTGGACATCTACGTATGCTTCAGAGCTTTCACTGCGGAGCCTGGAGGTCCGTCAAACTTCCAGGGAGAGGGTGCTATGGAATGCTTCAGTCTAGCTTCTTCAGTGTCCCAAGTGGGAGAAGGCGAAGCCACGGGGCAACCGCCCAGCCTTGTTTTCACGAAAGCCATGTGCATGTTGCAGCACGCGACCTTGGGCAGCACCGAGGCGCGACAAAAAGATTGGCCCTTGTTTTGCTCACCAGCGAATGAGCTAGCAAGGGGGAGTTTGAATGCGACGCCGCCAGTAGCCCTTGCGGCCAGCCTCCTTGTCTCGCTTGCCACACTTTTTCCGATCTGTGTCGCGCACGTTAACTGCAGTAGCCCGCTGCCCGCGACCCTCTTGGGTCGATCACGCGCCGTGAGCGCGAGTGGCAGCCCTTGCTGCCGCCGCCACCGCTTTTCCCCGTTCTCTCTTTCTTTTCATCTGTGGCTAGGCATCGACATCGTCCGCCTCAGATCGAATCGGATAGAATCGAGGAGGAGGAGGAGTAGGAGGAGGAGGACGACGACGACGACGAGGACGAGGACAACGACCTCCTCAGGAGGACGGCGACGACGACGACCTCCTGAGGAGGAGGAGGAGGAGGCAGAGGAGGAGGAGGAGGAGGAGGAGGAGGAGGAAGACGACGACGACGACGACGAGGACGAGAACGAGGATGAGGACAACGACCTCCTCAGGAGGAGAAGGAGGAGGAGGAAGAGGAGGAGGAGGAGGAGGAGGAGGAGTTGGAGGAGAAGAAGGAAGAGGACCACGACGACCGCCCCAGGAGGAGGAGGAGGAGGAGGAGGAGAAGGAGGACTATTGTATACCCAAGAGTCTTCAACGATGTTGGAACAAACCCTCCCTCCACGCTCCCTCGTCACCGGCGCCTACAACAGTTCATTTCCACTGAGGAAGCTGCCTCGCTGGACGACAACAGTTTGAAGACCCAGAAGCATGCCAGAAGATTGTTCTCGGCATTTCAACGCTACGGATCAACCTGACTGTTGCGTCTTGACGATCCTGAATCGTGCCAGAACGCCATTCCTGGGACATCAGCACCGCGAACCGATGTCACCGTTGCACCCTCATAACCCTGAACCTTTCCAAAACACCACTCATGGTACGCTGATCATGGGATCCATGAAACATCTACGAATATTGGGAAAAATGTGCGCGGCGCTAAGACGAGAGCCTCATTTTGAAAAGGCACAGCCCTCAATCAGTGAAACTCCTGCAAACTTTTAGAAACGAATCTGCGCGGCGCTAAGGCGAGAAACGTATTTTGAAAACGACCCGCCCTCATTGCAAATTGTTTTTGCTAATTTGCGCGGCGCTAATGCGAGAGACACATTTTGAAAACGACCCGCCCTCAATCCGCGAAACTCTCGTAAAAAGTATAAAAAAAAACAATGCGCGCGGCGCTAAGGCGAGAGCCACCCTTCAAAAACGTCCCGCCCTCCATCTGGGAAGCTGTTGCCAATTGTAAAACTTCAGGGTCGCAAGTGATGAGGACATCTCGCGCGAACCGCCCGGCCCGCCCTGAAATCTGGTCTCGGGGTCCGCCAGGGACAAGATATTCATAAGGAAAAGGAATGGAGGAGGAGGGGGCGGAGGAGGAGGAGGAGGAGGAGGATAATCGAGGAGGAGGAGGAGGGGGAGGAGGAAGAGGAGTGGGAGGAGGAGGGGGAGAAGGAGAAGGAGGAGGAGGAGGAGGAGGAGAAGGAGGAGGAGGAGGCAGGAGTGGAGGACGAGGACGACGACGACGACAACTCGGCGTCTCCGCAAAAGAACTCGTGGATGGCCAGGGCCGGCGCCGACCGGCCGCGCCGCGGCACCGAGGGGGTCTCCCCGCCGCCGCTCGTACGGCACGGGTGCGCTTGTTTCTTGTGTTCGCAGTTGTCGGGCGTGCTGCGGCCTCCCCGGGAGGAGCTGCTGCCCCAGGCAAGGTCGCGTCGTTGAACACCAGGACGCCCTGAGACCCTGGCGTCTCGCTGTCTTCGAGCCCGGCATTTTCGCCCAGATTCGGGCCCCAGGTCCCTCACAGATCGATCGGGCTCGAACAATGGGGCACGAAGATCAGGTCTGGGGCTCCAGTCGCGCCTCTTCGCGACGTCGCCATTCTTCCCGCACGTCGCAGCTCAGGGCGAGAGGTGTTTGTCCACTCTCTGGGGGCCCTCGCTGGGTCCCGGGGCCGTCCAAAGACTCGGGAGCGGCCAAGAGGGGTGCGTCCAAGAGGGGGGGGCGCAAATCATGGCCGGCGGCATGTGCGCGGCCCCTGGGGGGGCCGAGGCACGTAATGAAACAAGAAGAGGCGCCATGAGATCTGGGGAAATACCATGGCCCACGCCATGATATCCATCCCCCCCCCTAGTCATCACCCCCCTCTTTTCCGCCCCCGAAAAGACGGCTCAGGATGAGGAAGGAGCCGGTCCCAGGGAGAGGGCTGGGACTTGCGGGGGCCGCGTGCCCGCGGGCAGCCCCTGAGAGGCACTCGGGAGGTGCTCGCGGGCGGCCCACGCAAGGCACTCGGGAGGTCCTGGCGGTCGCCTAGGCGAAGGCATCCGGGAGGTGCTTGCGGGCAGCCCGGGAGAGGCACTCGGGATGCTTGCGGGCGCGCCTCGGAAAGGCATCTCCGAGGTACTGACAAAAATCCGGGCGTCGCATGTCTGAGGCTGCTGCTGCTGCAGCCTGCACCGATGTCCAGATCCGTGCGCAGAGCTGCCTGCGGGCGCCGCAGAGCCTGACCTTTGAGGTTAGATGAGGAGGGCACAGGACAGTCTCCATTCTGAAGGCCGAGTGGGGGAGGAGGAGGAGGAGGAGGAGGAGGAGGAGGAGGAGGAGGAGGAGGAGGAGGAGAAGGAGGAGGAGGAGGAGGAGTAAGGAGGAGGAGGAGGAGTAAGGAGGGAGGAGAGGAGGTAGAAGGAGGAGGAGGAGGATGAGGAGGATGATGCAGTATTAGGAGGAGGAGTAGTAATTAAGGAGCAGAAGGAGAAGGAGAAGGAGAAGGAGAAGGAGAAGGAGAAGTAGAAGGAGAAGGAGAAGGAGAAGGAGAAGGAGAAGGAGAAGGAGAAGGAGAAGGAGAAGGAGAAGGAGAAGGAGAAGGAGAAGGGGAAGGAGAAGGAGAAGGAGGAGGAGGAGGAAAAGGAGGAGGAGGAGGAGGAGAGGGAGAAAGAAGAGGTAAGAGGAATCCTGACGATCCCAAGGCCCAGCTAAGGCCCCTGGAGGCCGAAAATGGGCCAAAACCTCCCGTCGCCATTTTCTCACGACGCGAACATGTCCAGGGAAGGAAGGTCTTGCTTGAGTTCGGAAACGATGAGCTGCACACGCAACTGCTACATGACTGCGGCACTCAACTTGCTGCCTAAAACTGTGGCGCGGCCTCGACAGGCTAAGCGCGGCAACGTAATAAACAACACGGGCTCCAAATGAAAGGTGTGGAAACAGGGCGACAGATCAGTGCATCCGCAGTGCTGGTACTGTAAGCAGAGAAGGCAACAAGGAAGGCAGGCACAACGAGCCAAGCCTTGGGGTCTGGGTAAGGTCTCAAGCAGAGACTGCAGGGTGGGGTAAGTAGCACGAGTTGAGCTAGCCGATACACCTGCCTGACGAGTGCGGCACCCCGTGGCTGCTGGTAGCACGATGCCCTCCTATACGGAGGAGGGAGGATATGATAGGATACGACTGGACGTTGCGCGCAAGGGGTGCGACGTGAAGTCGAACACGCTGCGCTGAGACGCGCGTGGCTACCGCGCAGGAAACGTGTCGTGTGCGCACGTCGAGGAGGGAGGGCGGGCGGCACGAGCCAGGAGGACCCGCCGCGGGCCCCGCCACCCGCGCGACAAGCGCCGGCCTGCTGCGCGGGCGTGAAGCTGACGCTCGACCAGGTGCCGTGGTCCTCGGGGCGCGGCGCAGCCGCCGGGCGGCTCATCGTCGTCGTCGTCGTCGGCGGCGGCGGCGGCGTCGTCCGCCACCAGAAGGAAGAACATGTACGCGTCGTTCAGTTCTAATCGTGCTCGTTTCTGGTTGTGCTCGTTCCTGACTGTTCCTGGCCCCCTCGTGGCCAGGACTAGGACAAGGCCCAGGATAGAACACTTAGGAACGAAAGGATCTTGGCCCCGAAGAAAAATCAAAGAACGTCCGAAGGATTATAAAAATGAACAGCATCGGTGAACATCGAACTAGGAGCTGAGAGCAACTCCAAAACTGCACAAGCTCAGACGCTCGGCGCACCGCGCGGAGCTCTCGTGGGCCTCGGCCCGGCCGCTCTGCCTGGGTGCGCCGCCAGGAGGGGCCCGGCGTAGAGCCGAGGAATGCGCACTGTGTCGTCCTCTTCTTCGAAAAATATATGCATCCATAAAAATATCATTTGTGTGATTAGTACTACTAGTAGCATCAGCATTGTCATTACTCATAGAATCCTAAAGATAGCAATCGTAATAACGATCAGAACAGTCAATATATAGTGCGCGAGAGAGAGAGAGAGAGAGCAACTCTGGACGGGACGCCAGCTCTCGAGGCCTCCCATAGGGGGTCGGAGATCGCGCCGCGTCGCAGATGCTTATCGCCGATGCACCGGCGATACGTGGGCGACGTCGGCGATGAATCGGAGCCGTCGGCGTGGAGAAAAGCGGGCTCCGCATCGAGCCGCAGCGCCGATGCATCAGCGATGCGGCGCGATCCTGGTGTACTTTTGCGCCCCAGGTCCGTCTCCGACGGTCCCGGGGCACGAGAAGGGCCCCGGGAGGCCGAAAGGCAGAAAACCTGCTCGATCCCAGAGCCTCGAGCACCCCCCTCCCTTCCTGCTCGCCGGCACCAGAGCTGGGCCGCCGCAGACCCCAGCCGGCTCCAGTCCTGCGACCGATCTGCTCTCAGGCAGGGCAGGTCCTCCTGCAGGCGGATCTTGGAGGACAGGACAAATATACAACATACAGTGCGGGCGCGGCCGCAAGAAACCCTCGCAAGAAGCCCAACCCTGAAAACCCGCACGCGGGGTGCACCCGAGGGGAAGCCTGGAGCACCCTGAATGCAGCAGCTTCTTCAATGGCTGCGGGGAGTCACCGCGCAGCGCGCGGAGCGAAGAAACCAAGGATACCCCGACGAAAAGCATATGGTTTTTTGATGCGCGCCCCCACTGTACTCCAAAAGAGTCAAAAGGGCACGAAGAATCGTCCCCACACTATTTTGGAACCACTTCGAACATCCCCCCTGTAGAGCGGTACGCCCGACTTCAATCTACTCGGACACCCTTTTCGCAAGCCTGGGAGTGTAGAGGCCTCCTAGAAGGGGTCGGAGTAGATGTGGTCGGAGGATCGCGCCGCATCGCCGATACATCGGCGATGCATCGGCGATGCATCGGCGATGCGCCGGCGATGCATCGACAACGTCGGCGATACATCGGCGACGTCGGTGTGGGGAAAACACGGGCTCCACATCCAGCCGCATCAGCGATGCATCGGTGATGCGGCGCGATCCTCCGACCCCATCCACTCCGACCCCATCCAGGAGGCCTAGAAGAGCGATACGCCTGACTTCAATCTACTCGGACAGCCTCTGGGAAGCCTGAGACCCAGACCACCGCCGTAATGATTTTTTCATTACGTCGACCCCCAGAGGTCCCGACCCTTTCCCCATGACTGGCTCTGCATCCTGCGTCGTTTTCTGACGCTCCCGAGGCCTGGCGAGGGCCCCCGGAGGCCGAAAATAAGAAAAAACCTCCCGTCCTGAATTTTTGTCACTGCTCGAGGGGGTCTGGGTCTGGGCGTCCAAAGTGCGTGCCCGGAGAGCGGCCTGCTCCGCGGCAACTCCCCTGACCTTCCAGAGAGCTATTTTTTAGCACTGGAGGCCTAAAAACCTAAAAACTAAACGAAACAGCCTAAAACCAAGACGTAGAATAGCTCTGGGATAGGTTTCTAGGTCGGGTGCTATTTTTAAGCCCTCCTGGAAGGTCAAGGTCTCCTCTTGGCTTCGGCCCGGCCCGCCACCGTGCCCTGGACCGCTCGCTCGGGGCCTCGCGGCCCCCCTGCGCCCTCCGAGGGGCCTCTCGGGGCTCGCCCATGGGCCGCCTCGGGGCCCTTCCCTTTGAGAGTCTCCGTGCAGACCCCCCTCGGGTATAACACACTCTTCGGCGGTGAACAAACCTCCCTTTTAGTAAACCTCCCCTTAGTGAAAACGGCCTGGGACCGAAACCGACGGACCTGAACCCGCAAAAATGACGGCCGCGACGCCCTCTCGCGGACCGAGAACAGCCAATTCCTGAATCGACGTGTCAGGGTAGGAGGTCCGTCCACCCCCGATTTTTTCGCCGCGATCGAGCTGTGCGGCCTCACTGAGCCACCGCGCGGTGTGGCCCCCGAGGCGCGCAGCGTCGAGGCTATACAGGCGCCTCTGGGGGGGCAGCCTCCTCCTCCTCCTCCTCCTCCTCCTCCTCCTCCTCCTCCTCCCTCCTCCCGTCCTCCTCCTCCTCCTCCTCCTCCTCCCTTCCACCTCTTCCTCCACTCCTCCTCCTACCTAACTCTCCTACTCCTCTCTCCTCCTCCTCCTCCTCCTCCCCGCCTCGTCCGCTCCTCCTCCTCCTCCTCCTCCTCCCTCCTCCTCTCCTCTCCTCCACCTCTCCTCCTCCCTCATCCTCCCTCCTCCCTCCTCCTCCACCTCCACCTCCTCCCCCTCCTCCTCCTCCTCCTCCTCCTCCTCTTCCTCCTGCCTCCTCCTCCTCCTTCCTCCTCCTCCTCCACCTCCTCTCCTCGACCTGTCAGGGCAGGAGCTCTGTCACACCTCTTACTGCCACAGCTCGCTAACGCTGAAATTATTGTTCGGCCTCGCCGGGGGGGCCCTTCGGCGCCCTAAGCGGCTCTAGGGCCTCCGGCCCGCCCTGGCGCCCGCGGGACACACATCTATGTATGTTATATCTATGTGTATATATATGTGTATATATGTATATTTCTCTGCTGTGTATAAATAATATAATTATATAAATATATAAAAAATATATAAATAAATGGAATGCATATATATATATAATATGAGTAACAAATATAATATGTATATATGGATATATGAGGTGTTTACATATAATCTACTTGCAATACTTACATACATACATACATATCATTCATACAGACATACAACATACATACTACATACATACATACATACATACATACAACATACATACAAACAATACTATATGATCATATATATATATATATATAAATATATATATCATATATATGTAAGTGTGTGTGTCTCGAGGTGCGCCCCGCTCGGGCGGCGCTCGCCGGCGCCGAGGCCGCCGCGGCCCCACGGGGCAAGCGCCCGCCGGCCGCGGCGGGGCGAGCGAGCGCGGGCGCCTCCTCGGCAGAGGTCCGACGCACGGGAGAACTCCCCAGACGGAGGTGTTTCGCAGATGTCGGCCCCGAGGCCTCGGGCGCGTCAAACAACGACTCGGGCTGCAGAACCGGCCCTGGGGAATGGGTCGAGACTTCTGGGGGCCGCGCATCGGAAAAACACGACATCGGACCTCTGGGTCGGCAGCTGCGCGCTCCCCTGAGGTCCTGGCGATGCAAGCTTTTCACCACGGGCGATTACTCCCCCAGTCTTTCGGCCCCCGGGGCCCTCGCGGGTCGAGCCGGCTCGAGAAATGGCGCAGAGGTATGGAGTCCAGGGCTCCGGTCGTGATTTTGTTTCGCGATGTTGCAATGTTTCCCAACCATCCTGTGGTGTTGGGTCCTTGTTTTGAAGAGGCAGCGCCCCGCGTCTCCTCTCCTCTCCTTCCTCCTCTTCCTCCTCCTCCTCCTCCTCCTCCTCCTCCTCCTCCTCCTCCTCCTTGTCGTGAGTGTTCGCGATGTTGCAATTTTTTGCAACATCGGATCTCAGGGTCTGCGACACGGCGTGGGAGGCTTAGCTTAGAGGTTGGCACCAACGCCCAGAGCTCGGCGGCCACGGTGTTCGGAAGTTTCTTCGGCGCCCCGCAGCGGCTTGCTAGCCTTCTCACAGCGTGCTGGAACGCTCTGGAATGCTCTGAGAGCGTGCGGCGAGGGCCCCGAGGCGGCCCGGAGGGACCAACTGGGCCGACAGCGAACGGCCCAAGACACCGTGGACCACCTGCTGGCCCTGGGATGCCCCGAGATCCTGGAGCCTGCCGGGCCCATAGCCTCAGACACTGAACCACCACACAGCCAACCATCCAGATGGCCAACCAATCAAGGGCCACTTTCGGGTCACCAACTGCGTAACAGCCGCAGACCACCCCGAGACGGCCTCCGAAAGCCCAAGGCAAGGCGAAGCAAGGACGAAGATGAATCGGGTGAGGGCAACTCGAGAATATCTGAGATCCGGCGGCTCTAGAGATGTCTTGGGCGCCGCGGCCTTCTCAGAGCGTATCGGAAAGCTCTGAGAGCGTTCTGGAACGCTCTGGAACGGATTTATCCTCGTCCTGTCCCCGCACGTCGAGGCCTCTTCGCGGACTCTGCGTATTCCACACCAGCCGACCAGCAGGTGGCTGTTTTGGTGACCTTCTCGAGGGGCAGCCAGCTGCACTAACATAAACTGTCGGAGATCCGCGCGGAGTTTCTGGATCTGCGTTGGCAACCCCTCCCTGACGCGCGGTGCGCGCCAGGGGCGGCGCAAGGGGCGCCGCCAGGGGGTCCAGCGCCGATCCAAGAGATCCGCGCCGAACTCCGAAAGTTTCTGCTTGTGCAGTTGTTTGCCTCTCGAGAAAACCATTGGATCAGCCACCTGCCGGTGGGCTGGTGTGGAAGGTGGAGCGTCAGGGCTGGAGGCCTCTCGGAAGGCCCCCAGAAGCCCCTCGAGAGGCGGCATGCCGGGGCCGCCACGGCAGCAAGGGAGTCGCCACGGCGACGGGTGGCGCCTGGGGGTCCGGGTGAGAGACGGCTCTTCTGGTGGGCCCCCCAGCCCGCTTGCGCTCGCGCCCGCCCCATCCCACCCCCTCCCTCCTCCCAAACCTTCTCTTGAAAGCTGACTTCCTCGGCAGTAATGCTCCTTCTCCTCCTCTTCCTCCTCCTCCTGCTCCTCGTCCTCCTCCTCCTCCTTCTCCTCCTCTTCCTTTTCCTGCTCCTCCTCCTCCTCCTCTTCCTCCTCCTCCTCCTCCTCCTCCTCCTCCCCCTCCCTCCTCCTCCTTCTCCTCCTCCTCCTCCCTCGCCTCCTGATGGGTAGAAGTCACTACGTTGTGGATACAATTGCCAGGGCAGTCGCCGGGTTAGCCTGTCTGCCTGCAACCGTCCGCCAGCAACTACTTGGCTTAGGTAACCTGCTCGAGAGGAGGGTGCGTTTGGCATGACTTGCGTCGAGCAATTTGTGTGCGACTGGCTAATCGGAATAGAATCGTCCATGTTGGCCAGCCTCCGCCAAACAACATACCACGAGATGCTGGGTCGACCAATCTCAGAACTTGATTGGTCTGCGGGTCGGGAGCGGGCCCCTTCCGGTCAAGAGCTAAACGGGACGCGGGTAGCCCTAATTAAGGAGACAGGGCGCGGGCGGGCTGGGCCTCAGGCGGCCGGAGGGCTCAGAAAACAGGCGGTGCCAAAGATCTTGCACAGGACAAGGTACGCCATGGACTGGAGCAGGGGACCAATCTCAGAACAGGCAATACACTGATCAGCGCAGCAGCACAGGCTCTGGCATTGCAAATGCTGAAATGCTGTGCGCCTCAGGCCAGAGTGCTCAGTCTCGGCCGCACGTGCCAAAACAGCGGCACCCCACAAGCGCGGGAGACGCCACTGCCTCTCCGGTCCTCGCACATCGCTGCTCCTGCTCCTGCCTCCCTGCCAACTGCCTCCCTGCCTCGATGCTCCTTTTCCGACGACGACGACGACGACGACGACGACGACGACGACGACGACGACGACGGACGACGACGACGACGACGACGACGACGACGACGACGACGACGACGACGACCAACGAATGACGACCAGCGACGCCGACTGCGGCGGCCGCCGCCGACGGTCGCTGCGACGACGGCGGCGGCGGCAGCGACGCCGACGACGCAGACAACGGCGCCGGCGCCGCGGTCCGTCGGCGGCCCCATGGGCGTGACGCCGTACTGGATGTACCACGGCGGAAGCGCTCCCGCCAGGGATCGCTCCGCCCCGGCCGCCTTGCGGGGGGGGGGTCCCACGTGACCAGCTGGTCGACGATCGAGGAGGCCAGGGTCGAGGATCGAGGAGCATGTGAAGATCGAGGATCGAGACGGGTGGGAAATCGAGGGGAAGCGGGCGGATCTAAGATGGGCGCTGAGGCGGGAGAAGGGAACAAGGAGAAGGAGGAAGAACAAAGATCGACGATTGAGGAGGGGGAGACCGGGTGGCAACCTCGCCTCGCGCGTGGCTTGCGCGGTTGCACGGGCAGTTTGGGGGATCGCTTTTGCCAGCCAAGGTGAATTTGGACTTGCGTTTCCCACAGCTGTCGCGCCACGTCGAGATTCGGCACGCTAGCCAGGCCGAGTCTTACAACTTCCGACCACGGGCACCCTGCATTCCTCAAGAAATGCGACAGGAGGAGAGCTCGCACGCTCGAGTCCACACAATCGCGCTGGAATGAGACAGTGACGACGGCCCGCGCGATGGCGATAGCTGGTTAATGAAGTGGATGACGATGTCGACGCCGACGGCAATTGCCTCCGAGACGCTTTATCAAAGAAAACGAAACGCGAAACGTAACATCCCAAGGAGTGGCCAATAGGGACCCCCGTGGCATCACTACCTTCCACGTCCGCCCAAGATGAGTTGCGAACCAGATGCTTGCGAGCGCCACAACCACCATGCATTTGAGCACCGAAGCATGCCCATCAGCACCACAGCGCGCCTGTGAACAATGCCATATCTGAGGGGGAGCTGGCACCACCCACGCGTAATTCCGTTACCCTTACGGGAGGGGGGGCGATGAGGTTAAGTCGGGCGTGTCCCTCTACAGGAGGAAAACTCAAAAATTGTCTTATAGCAGGAGTGCAGTATCCCCAAACAGGGCTTTTAGACCCACTGCGGTTTCCAAGGTCGATTGCGTGTCCATCCAGTGCGGGCTGGCATGGCATGTTAAAACATGCCTCCTCCTCCTCCTCCTCCTCCTCCCCTCCTCCTCCTCCTCCTCCTCCTCCTCCTCCTCCTCCTCCTCCTCCTCCTCCTCCTCGTCCACCTCCGCTTCATCCCGAAAGGCGTCTCGGAGCCCAGAGTTGCGAGGATGTCTCCAGCGTAACTGGCTGGACCACCTCGCGCGCGGCATTTCGGACCCCAGAGTTGAGACGATGTCTCTGACGAAACGTGCCGCGAGGAAGTTTCAGGCGAAACGGGCTGGACAACCTCGAGCGCGGCGTCTCAGTGCTCCGAGTTGCGGGGGCCTCCTGGCGCCTCTTGGGGCCTCCTGGGGACCTCCTGGGGCTTCCTCCTGGGCCTCCTGTGGCATTCTGAAGTCCACCTGGGGTTTCCTGAAGTTTCTTGGGGCCCCCAGGGGGGATATCAAACCTATGGCCGCTTGGGCCCCTCAAAATACAGACGGGGGGCACAAGAGCAGGACAAATCAACGAATCGACACCGGATGTAAATTAACTTGACACGTTCTGGGGCCTCCTGGGGCCTCCTGGGAGCCTCCTGAGAATCTCCTGCGGACCCCTGGGGCTTGTCCTGGGCGTCCTGCGGCCTCCTGAAGCTCTCTGGGGCCTCCCCCTCCTCCTGCCTGCTCCCTCATGCACATCATCCGCCTCCTCCTTCTCCCTTCCATCTCCTCCTCCTCCTCCCCCTCCTCCTCCTCCTCCTCCTCCTCCTCCTCATCCTCCTCCTCCACATCCTCTTCATCCCGAACGGCATCTCGGAGCGTAGAGTTGCGAGGATGTCTCCAGCGTAACGGGCTGGACCACCTCGCGCGCGGCATCTCGGACCCCAAAGTTGCGACGATGTCTCGGGCGAAACGCGGCGCGAGGAAGTCTCAGGTGAAACGGGCTGGACCACCTCGAGCGCGGCGTCTCAGAGCTCCGAGTTGCGGGGGCCTCCTTTTTTTTTTTTTCTCTTTTTTCTCCTGTTTTTTTTTTCTTTTTTTTTTTTTTTTTCTTTCTTTTTTTTTTTTGTTTCTTTTTTTTTTCTTGCCTGTTTTTTCTTCCTTTGTTGGGCGCGTTCAGACTTTTCCTGGTGCCTCTTGGGGCCTCCTGGGGACCACCTGGAGCTTCCTCCTGGGCCTCCTGTGGCCTCGTGAACTCCACCTGGGGTTTCCTGAAGCCTCTTGGGGCTCCCAGGGGGGATATCTAACCTGTGGCCGCTTGGGCCCCTCAAAATTGATGGGTGGGGGGGGGCAGAAGAGCAGGAAAAGTTAACGAATCGACACCAGATGTGAATTAACTTGACACGGTCTGATAGGCGGCCTCCTGGGGCCTCCTGGGAGCTCTCCTGGAGACCCCTGGGGCCTGTCCTGGGCGTCCTGCGGCCTCCTGGTGCCTCCTGGGGCCTCCTGGGGACCTCCTGGAGCTTCCTCCTGGGCCTCCTGTGGCCTCCTGAACTCCACCTGAGGTTTCCTGAAGCATCGTGGGGCTCCCAGGAGGGATATCTAACCTGTGGCCGCTTGGGCCCCTCAAAATTGATGGGGTGGGGGGGGCAGAAGAGCAGGAAAAATCAACGAATCGACACCGGATGTGTATTAACTTGACACGTTAATGATAGAGGGCTTCCTGGGGCCTCCCGGGAGCCTCCTGGGAATCTCCTGGGGGCCCCTGGGGCCTGTCCTGGGCGTCCTGCGGCCTCCTGGACCTCTCTGGGGCCTCCTGAGGCTCGCAGGGTCCCATGGAGGATATGTAACATGTGGTCTTCTGGGCGCCCAGGCTGGACCACCTCTCGCGCAGCATCTGAGAGCTCAGAGTTGCGAGAATGTCTTGTGCGAAACAAGCCGGACGACTTTGCGCACGGCATCTCAGAGCTCAGAGTTGCAAGGATGTCTCAGGCGAGACGGGCCGGACCACCTCGCGCAGGGCATCTCAGAGCTCAGAAGTTCGAGGATGTCTCAGGCGAAACGAGCCGGACCACCTCTCGCGCGGCATGTCCGAAGTCAGAGTTTCGAGGATGTCTCAGGCGAAACGGGCCGGACCACCTCGCGCAAGGCATCGCAGAGCTCAGAATTTCGAGGATGTCTCAGGCGAAACGGCCCAGACCACCTCTCGCACGGCACCTCGGGGCTCAGAGTTTCGAGGATGTCTCAAGCGAAACGGCCCGGACCACCTCTCGCGCGGCGTCCCGGAGCGCAACTTTTCGAGGATGTCTCAGGCGAAACGGCCAATCCCGGCAAACTCAGAAACGAGAGTTGTGAGGATGTCCCAAGCGAAACGGCCCAAACCATACAATTTGTGTGAGGATGTCTCTGCTCCGCGTTCCCTTGGCCGGAGTTAGTTTTTATCACAACAGCACCCCGTTCAGCAAGCTGTTTGGGGAAAAATCGTGACGTCGGATCTTTGGGAAGGGTGGAAGGCAGTGCGCGCATGACGGATGCTGAGGCGGCAGAAACGACGACGGCGGGGACGGGGAGGCGGAGGCAGAGGCGCAGCAGCGGGAGGCGGGAGGCGGGAGGAGGGAGGAGGGGAAGGGAACCAGGCGGGAAGTGGGAAGAGGGAGGCGGGAGAAGGGATGAGAGAGGTTGTGATTGTAGCTCCCGTGCTACGAAACGTCTCAGGCAGAATGGGCCAGACCATCTCGCGCGCAACATCTTCGAGCCTCGCATTGCGAGGATGGCTCAATCGAAACGGCCCGGACCACCTCGCGAGCGACATCTTGGAGCTCAGTATTGGAAGGATGTCTCAAACGAAACGGGCTGGACAATCTTTCGCACACGTTTTGACAAGTCCACATCGCACTCGCTTCCCGTCAGGCCCTCTCCTGCAACTCCCTTCCTTCTCCCTCCTCCTCCTCCTCCCCCTCCTCCTGCTTGCTCCCTCATGCACATCATCCGCCTCCTCCTTCTCCCTTCCATCTCCTTCTCCTTCTCCTCCTCCTCCTCCTCCTTCTCCTCCTCCTCGACATCCTCTTCATCCCGAACGGCATCTCGGAGCCTAGAGTTGCGAGGATGTCTCCAGCGTAACGGGCTGGACCACCTCGCGCGCGGCATCTCGGACCCCAGAGTTGCGACGATTTCTCGGGCAAACGTGCTGCGAGGAAGTCTCAGGCGAAACGGGCCGGACCACCTCGAGCGCGGCGTCTCACAGCTCCGAGTTGCGGGGGCCTCCTCGTGTCTCCTGGGGCCTCCTGGGGACCTCCTGGGGCTTCCTCCTGGGCCTCCTGTGGCCTCCTGAATTCCACCTAGGGTTTCCTGAAGCCCCTTGGGGCTCCCAGGGGGGATATCTAACCTGTGGCCGCTTGGGCCCCTCAAAATGGATGGGGGAGCACAAGAGCAGGAATAATCAACGAATCGACACCGGATGTGTATTAACTTGACACGTTCTGATAGGCGGCCTCCTGGGGCTTCCTGGGAGCCTCCTAGGAATCTCCTGGGGACCCCTGGGGCCTGTCTGTCCTGGGCGTCTTGCGGCCTCCTGGAGCTCTCTGGGGCCTCCCCCTCCTCCTGCCTGCTCCCTCATGCACATCATCCGCCTCCTCCTTCTCCCTTCCATCTCCTCCTCCTCCTCCTCCTTCTCCTCCTCCTCGACCTCCTCTTCATCCCGCATGCCATATCGGAGCCTAGAGTTGCGAGGATGTCTCCAGCGCAACGGGCTGGACCACCTCGCGCGCGGCATCTCGGACCCCAGAGTTGCGACGATGTCTCGGGCAAACGTGCTGCGAGGAAGTCTCAGGCGAAACGGGCCGGACCACCTCGAGCGCGGCGTCTCAGAGCTCCGAGTTGCTGGGGCCTCCTGGTGCCTCCTGGGACCTCCTGGGGACCTCCTGGGGCTTCCTCCTGGGTCTCCTGTGGCCTCCTGGACCCCACCTGGGGCTTCCTAAAGCCTCTTGGGGCGCCCAGGGGGGATATCAAACCTGTGGCCGTTTGGGCCTCTCCAAATGGGGGGGGGGGGGGCACAATAGCACGACAAATTAGCTTGGCGAAGGGCGCAACCATATGCAGCTGTGAATGCCGCAATTGTGCTGGGTGGTGGCGGACGCATGCGGGCGGTGCCACTGGGACCTTCGGTGGAGCTCCCTAT